GCATATTCTTCTTTGAATATGAAATCAAACTAGGTTATATCACGTCTGTGGCTTATGTTAATGTAATATAGATCATGTCTTGACACAGAGCCCACTGTTTGATTCCACCTCAACTGTTTTGTCACCTCGGGGACAACCACTACACCCTGAGAACAATCTGTCTTCAGAGCTCAAAGAACATACAGATGGAGGAGAACATAAGCAAGAACTCAGTTCTGGTCATCTTCACACAGAGGAAGGGAATGCTACAGTCAGTGGTGTTCCCCTATCTAATCCAGTTCCTGAACCTGGTGACTACATGGCTGCTGGAGTTGATCCTTTGGAAGCCCAACATGGGGAAGATGATCTACTGACTTTTAAAACACAACAGAAAACAGAAATGGTGAGAGTTAAGAGTTTACATGATAGTGCTAAATGTTTGTATGAGAATATCAAAGACTATAAAGGACAGGCCAGTATTATTCTTAGGCTACGTTCACACTGCAGGCCTTGGTGCTCAATTCCGATTTTTTTGTGAAATCTGACTTTTTTTGCTTTGCCGTTCACATTTACAAATATATGCAACTAGTATGTGATCTCCTGTGTGAACTGCAGTCATACAACGCAAGTGTCCTGCATGCGCAGCAGAGGATGCAATGACGTCACAGGCCAGTTTGCTCTGTGTTTACGGAAGTAAACATGGATGGTAGTGATCTAGCATCTAGTGATCTTTTCCAAAAATAAAAACTAAATCTTCTCACATTAAACATAAATACTGTTCTCCGCATCGTCACCTGCCATGGTTGTTGTTTTTCTTGCCACTTCTGCGTAGCAAGACGCAGAATAGTGACAACTAACGAGTTTTAATGGCATTAAGGTCGGATGAATGCGACCTGGCAATTCACACACATCTCACATTTGAAAAGATCAGATTCGTATCGGATTCAGGACCACATAGACAAGTGGCCTGGGTCAGATTGGAAAAAATCGGATCTGTGTTTTTCAGACTGCTATGAAAAGAGTCGCATATGGGCAAAAAAATCAGATTTGGGTCACTTTAGGCTGCAGTGTGAACGTAGCCTTAGTTGTAAGTTTTAGATGTAGAAAACAATTTAATCTTATTTGATATTTAACCAAAATAAATTCAGTGTGCAATTTCTAAATTTTTTAATCAATGCTGTCTAAAACTTAACAATAACAATTTTCCTATATAAACATATAATTTTCTTATACACCAGATTGCTTTGACTGACCATACAGAATCTTTCCCTGAGGGTAAGTCAGCCTTATTTATTTTCTGTTGCTCTTCCTTTTCAAAGTGTATATAGTATTTAAAGACTTGTCCTGAGGTATAAGCCAATACTACAGAATCACTTTTACAAAGCATAAGACTAAATAAGTATATTTGACGAAACAAAAATACATAAAAAAAAATTAAAAAAATACATATTGCCTTGGTCTGTCACTGTTGCCAATTTACAGAGGATATGGCAAGCCATTCTGTTATTTATAGATGAGTGACAAATGTTTATGAATGGATTATTGATGATCCCAGTGGGTTGCCACAGAGCTCTAGCTAAGTACGTGCAAAGATTAAGCATAGAGCAGGGTTAATCCCTCCCCCACCCCACTACTCACATATATGCCCACGGAGGGTCGGCCATATTTAGTCCCTTCTGAAATCAATTACATGTGAGTGGCTGATAAGGCCTCCACAGCATGTAGCACCAAATTATAGTCGGCCTGGAGGATAAATGTATAAATGCAAATTCCATNGCCTGGAGGATAAATGTATAAATGCAAATTCCATGTATGGGTTGCACACATTGAGTAATGAAACACCTCACCAACAAATTTTGTTCACATAGGCTATAGAAATAATTTTGTTATAAGTGCAATTGTCTTGACAAGTTATCACACTATTTGATCTAAATAAAGTCATACCTGAAAACACAAAAAATGTGGCTAATTAAACATTTTATTTGGTCTATTAAAGTAGCCTTGTTATTATCATTTATCATAACAGTCTACAAAGGTTAAACTCAGCAGTGTTGCATGTAGCAGTATTGTTAACCATATGTTTTATAGACAGTCTTTAGTGCTCATTCTCATGGCAATGTATCATGGCAATAGTCGCTGCATGAGCTTAAACTGCTGCTATGGTGATGACAGGTCCTGTAGTGCGAGGAATTGCCATCCCAAAACTAGGGGGCTTATTTACATCCTCTAACGTAATCAAGGCAATTAAATTCTAAAGTGAATAGCGATAAGTAAGGTGGGAGAAGGGAGTTGCCACTGATTGGGAAAGGCCAACATGTCGAACATGTGCAGGAAAGGATTGGACCAGGGTCACAGTTGACAGAGAAGATCTTGTCAGAGTTGAGTGTGCACCAGACATGTTTTGAGCGAGCGGGTGTGAGTTTAAATTGCTCTCCCATAAAAGTCAGCAGCTGCAGCCCATTGCTCAAGTCAGAAAGAGAGAAGCGACTCTTCTCTGTTCCCCATTAAAAATGCAAAGCTTCGACTAAGCCTCCCTGGATATAAAAGCGGGATATAAGTATAACATTAAACATTTATTTTCTTTTAAAATGTTGAACTTAAATAGACCCCTCCCTGCATTTAATTCATACATAGGTTTATCCAAAATGTGTATTACTACTACTAACTCTCTACAAGTTGAATTCATGAAGTCATAACAAGATAAATTTATGTTGTATGATCAGGTAAAATATTATTGAATACTTTGAAATTATTTCATAGAGGTCATCTTTAGTTTTAAACATATTTTGAACCTTAAATTACTTTTTATCTCCTCGATGTTGATATTTCTCTCTTCCTTTCTCCTATGGAAATTAATTTGAGCATAATGTTGCAACAACATTCATTTGCCTCAACAAGTCATCAAAAATTAGCCTCGTAAACCTGATGCAGTCCAGCATTTTGTAAGTTAGTGCGTTCCTGAAAAATGTGAATCTGTATAATTACCTAACCAATAATATGTAAAGGTAATTCCAACATTGTTCATTCACAGAAATGGTTTTGAGGCAAAAGATTTCAGCGAGATCAAGCTTATGCTGAATGAGAATTGAGCAGCAGAATTTAAGGACCAGTAAAAGCCAAGAACTGTAAATGTCGTTGTTGCACTGTTACAGAAGCAGATATAAAACAAAAAAAGTAAAATAATAAAAGAAATTTGTAAAAAAATAATAATCTGTTTTTTTTATGAATGCTTTGTTTAGATTTGGATTTAGATTATTTATTTCCGACCTAAATTACATGTCCACTAGAAGATTCCACCCTATTCGAGTGGGACTGTATGAGTCCTTTGATTCTTCAATAATCTGCGTGTCTAACACCTGCGTTTGATTACAATATAGGATTTTATCCAACAAGCGTTCATCATATTATAGCTGATGCAACTTAGTGATGCGCTAATACGTTCATATTAGTGCTAAAGGTGAGTTTTGTCGTTTGGTGTCCTATGTGACAAGGATAGTGATCCTAGGAAAAACTGGAGCTGGCTGCAATATATACAATATAACATTATATCTGGAGGGGGAATGGAATCAGCCTTGTCGAAGTCCATCCCAGGACAAGAGAGAATCCCTTATTCTGAGACAAATCACTCACATTTATACATCTAGCTTTTTTGATACAGAAAAACTGAAGCAAAGCTCCAAACAACAGGTTGCATCTATTGTTTTACCCCTATTTATGGCATTTCTGCCTTT